TAGATTTACACAAACAGTGGGATCCCAATCTTGAGTTTGCTGTGTATGCCTGAAAAAAATGCCATGGTTTAATCTTGATAATAATCATAAAAATAATAACATGAAAGTAATTTTAAAATAACAACTGGTATTTACTCGGTGCTTATCTGATGCCAACTACTTCGCTAAGCCTGTGGATGTGTGACATCCCCATTGCTACTGATAAGGGAGTTGAGGTTCAGAGAAGTGAAGTCATATACACAAGTCACACAGCAGGTGAGTGACAGAGCTGGGATTCAAACCCAAACTATCAGCCTTCAAAGCCCATGCTCTTAATCTCTGTCTCACTGTCTTAGTGTTTTCTTGTCCCTTTAATTAAGTTCCATAGTACATACTCCCAGGACCTATAATTGTAGATTACATGATGGCAGGTAAGTAATTGGTAATTCCTGGCTGTGATGAAGATCCATCACAGAAACCTGCCAATTTTCAGCTTGTTATGCAGTTACTCAAGTACTGTGACTTCAAGTGACATTGGCTCCTGAAAGAAGACACCATCTTTCTGTCTTTCCCTCCTTTGTCGACTGATCTCCCCTTAAACCTCGCTGCATTCCTACTCCTAATCCCCCATGTACTGCCAGCTGACTGACTGAATAAAGTATTTTTTGAAAATCAGCAGTGTCGTGAGCAAGGTTTCTTGGTCTTGGCATAGAAGAATGAAAAAAGAAGTGTGAAATGAGAATCATTGCAGCTATCACTAGGTGCCTGCTATGTACCCAGCAGTTGCTAGGTCAGCCAAGTTTTTCTGTGAAGGACCATATAGTAAATATTTTAGGCTTTATGGATCATCCAGTCTCAGTTACAACTACTCAGCTCTGTTGTGGTGTCATGAAAGCAGCCATACACAGTACACAAATGAATGGGTTGTTCCAATAAAACTTTATTTATGGACTCTGAAATCTGAATTTCATATAATTTTCATGTGTCACAAAATATTATTCTTTTATTGATTTTTTTCTTAACCATTTAAAAATGTAAAAAACAGAGAAAAACAGGCAGAGGCTGGAATTGACTTGGCCTGCAGGCCATAGTTTGCTAGTTTCTTCCAACATTATATTAAAAATTTTCAAGCATACAGAAAATTTGAAAGAATTTTACAATGAACACTCATTACATAGGTTTTACAATTAACATTTTACTGTATTCACTTTATTGCACATCTACAATTTCACCATCCTTCTAGCCACCCATAAAATCATCTTATTCTTTTGATGCATCAGAATGGCCTTTTGAAAAAGAAAACAGCAGCAACCCCTTCCTAGGCCAGTATGAGGTGGTAACTGAGCAGACAGGCAACAGGAGAGAGTAGGTTTGTGGATGAATATTGCCATTTTTCATATATAGGCAACAAGTAATAACCTTTCAAGGAAGAGAACAGATGATTTGCTCCTGTATCGGCTAGGAATATGCCTGGCAGCAAGTAACAAAATGTGCAACATATGCTGTTGGTGTCCTGCCCAGACATCTGCTCTAATGCAAGTACCCCCAAAAAACTCTAAGTCTTTCTATAGCCATAAATCCAACATTTTCTTATCTATTTACTTATTTATTATTCATCTTCCCATTGGTGGAATATAAGTTCCACGAGAGCAGAGACATCTCAAACTTATTTACTACTGTATACGCTCTATGCTAGACAAGTTTATTGGTATAAAGACAATATTCAATAATATTTTAGGAATAAGGAATGAGTCCGTCTTACACATTTCATAAGTTGTATTTTATTATCTTTCTTCTCTATGTCCTGCTGTCTTACAATCTCAGCTAATTTCCTCTGTTCCATCTTCCAGTTTACCAATTTTCTCTTCAGTTGTGTTTATTGAGAGGGTTTGGTTTTTTGTTTGTTTCTGGTTTTAATTTGCATTTTTTTTTCATTTCTAAGGTGGTGGTGATGGCTGTTGGTTTTCATAATTGTCCTTTTTTCATGGATAGGATGGAAATTATAATAAATATAATGAATACTTAAAATGGATATAATATCTCATCTAGTCCCCCGAGGATGTTAATTGTATATTTCTAGACTCTAAGTTCATTGTGTGCTGCTAAAACAGACTGGGAAATATATAAAGAACAGAAATTTATTTCTCACAGTCTAGAGGCAGAGAAGCTCAAAATCAAGGCACAAGCAGGCTTCCAAGGGGGTCTCTTTGTGTCCAAGATGGCACCTTGAACATGGCATCTTTTGGAGAAGAAGAACACTGTCCTCACGTGACAGAAGAGAGTTGACCTACAAGCCTTTTTATAGTGGCATTAATCCATTCTTTGCCCTGATGACCCAAACACCTCCCATTTTGCCCCACCTCCCAACACAGTTGCACTAGGGATTAAGTTTCCAACACATGAATTTTGGAGGACACATTCAGAGCATAGCAGATTTCTTCTCCCTTATTGATTATTTTAATTTCCTTACATATGAGTTCTTATGTTGTTAATGTTGAATCTCTTAAAATGGTTTGGCATTGGCACCTGTGGATACATGTGTGTACTTGTTTTGTTTTGTTATTTTGGGTTCTGCTTTTGCTTTTGCTTTTGCATTGGGGATATTCTAGTAGCCCCCCTATGAATTCTGTATCTGCTTACTGCAGCTGAAACCAGGAGTGAGGGAGTGGAAGGAGCCAGGAACCAGTCTTCTGCACACAGGGCTTCCTATTCTTCTGGATATGGCCAGGCATCCTGAGCATTTCTGTGCCTCTCTTCCTCGTCCTCACTGCTCCGTTCTGTAACAGGCACCTCTGCTGTATGTTACTCACCACAGGAGGTTTGGGGAAGAAGACAGGATGACCCTATTGACTATCATTATTATGTCAGCGCAACTTACCACCATGACAGCTGATCCAGAGTCTCTTCTCTCCCTTTAGTCCATGCCTGGAGCCTGGAGCTCCTCAGAGCCCCTCGTACTTTGCATAGGTACCCTCTCCTTCACATGTTTTGGGCTGCAATTTCCTTTTTCGTGCAATCCCATATCTCTTTCTGGGGTTTAATAGTTTCCAGTACCTAGGGCATCTCTATTTAGGATCTAACAGCATTATTAAATTTTTTCATCTCTTTCCTGTCATTTTTAGACACCTGGGGTTGGAGTTGAAGACTCGTGAATATATGTTCAATCCACCATCTTTACCCATACTGACCCTTCTGCTCTCTATCTTCTAAAAATTCCTCAAGTGTCCTGGTCCCTTGATGATACTCTTTCTCAATTTCTAACCCTGTTGATTTGCATGATGCTTTTAACATATCTTTGCTGTAATTTCAATAGGATCTTGAGCGTGTGTTCAGTCCACTATCTTGAATGGAAGGTTTCTAAAGTGACCTGTGAGTCAGAATGATGACTGTGATTAATGGGCAAACACAAAAATCTTGGCTGAGTCCTCTGGTTTGAATCCCCTTTACAACATCTAACTTACAAAATAGTCCCCTGCCTCTATTTGAATATCCCTAGTGATGTGGTGCTCACTACTCAAAATGTAAACCTGTGTACACATTGGCAGTCCAGCAACTCTCCCTTCACTTGATCATGACCTTGGAAATTCACTCTGAACCCATCTACTTCCTTTCAGTTAAGGTGCAGACTTCAGGAAACTCTTATTAAGATTAAGTGGAGTAGATGCTGGGTCCCTGAGCTGATGGGACAGAGGGCTGAGAGGAGGGGGATGAACTGTGACAGGGGCCAGGCCCGGAAGGAAGCTCAAGTGTGCAGACTCTAGGCACTTGGGCAGAGCAGCAACAAGGAAAGAGTAGAAGAGGGAGGGGACACAGGCCATGAAGATAGAACAGCAATGGAGCTGGATTCAAATCTCTATTGAACTGTGACAGGGGCCAGGCCCGGAAGGAAGCTCAAGTGTGCAGACTCTAGGCACTTGGGTAGAGCAGCAACAAGGAAAGAGAAGAAGAGGGAGGGGACACAGGCCATGAAGATAGAACAGCAATGGAGCTGGATTCAAATCTCTATTCTGCAGCTTGCTGTCCACCCAGCTTTGTGTCAGTCCCCAAAGGATTTCACTATAGTAGCTTTATAATGTTTAAATAAGTAATATTATTGTGTGAAGTACCATTCTAGACTTATTTTCCTTTCTCAATTCTCCTTATTAAGAGAATTCTTGATTCTTGCAGATTTTAGAATGGTACATTCGAAGTTTTTAAAAATGAGATTTTTATTGGAATTACATCAAATGCATAAATTATTTAGGAAAAGTTGGCTCCTGTAGAGCACAGTGCTGAGAGGTTGGGCTGATTTGAAACCAGCCTGACAACATTCCTCCCTTGTGACCTTAGAAATTATCTAGTTCCTCTTTACCTTAACTTCTTCATCTATCAAATGAGTGTGAAAAATAGACTTAAAAGATAATACCCATCTTTCCGTGAACTTTTTGAAGTACCCTCGTATGTAAAGCAGTGCAGGACAAGCATTCTGCAAGTGTGCCTTATTATGGGTTGTGGTGGTGGTGGTATTTAGAATGCACCTTTCAACCAAAGAGCAAGTAAGAGCTCTCAGTTTATGTAAATACTCTCTCCTTTATGAAAATGCTCCCTCCGGGCAAATCAGTCTAGCTCTGACTATTCAGTAAAACCTGCATGTTTCTCAAATGCTCAGGGTGTGTTACTCGGTGCCAATCCAATGCGTTCTGTGAACCTGCTGCTGTAGAGGTATTTTGTTTGGTTGTGTCTGGTTCATCGGAGTTGGAGCCATGAGCCCTGAGTCCAAGGAGAGGAAGGCGTGGCTGGGGAGAGGACCGAGAAATGGGAGCAAGCGCCCGGAGCAGCTGAAAAGAAACGAAACTGAAAGCAAGAAGGGAGGGAGATCACCGCAAAGTGGGGGAGGAGGTGAGGAAGCTGGGGGAGGCCAGGTCAGCAGCGGCCCATCCTCTCCCCAAGCCCCGCGCAGACCCGAGGACAGGAACCAGCGAGAGGGGCGCGTCGCGGAGAGGCAGGCAGGCACTCGGAACCCGCCCCCGTGCCGGGCAGCCATGGACGTGTACCGCGCCCCGGCCGCCGCGCTCGACAAGCTGGTGGCCGGCAGCCTGCAGCCGCCGGGGGAGTTCGTGCGGGCGGCGCGGCGCGCGCTGGGCGCCCTG